CCTGTAAAAATATTAAATCATTAAAATTATAAAATATTATTTTTAAAAATATTAGTTTTATTTAATTTGATTAATAAAAATAATTAGTCGTTGTAATTATTAATTAAAAATTGATAAAATAATTGATGTTTATTATTTAATAAGACAAAATTAATTAATTACTTAATATTTTTAGATACTATTAAAAAAATCAAAAATAAATAAAATATTAGTGGTCTTAATATTTTTTATAATGACAATATCTACACCTGTTATAACCATTACACTTTTTTTTTTTTGACAAAAGGAAATATAATATTAGGTTAATATCTGTTCAAGAAAAATTGATTCTGAAACTGAACTTACGAAACGAAGTGCGTTCCACTTATTTTTCACTTTAGAAAAACGTGATCGCCACTGCAGTAACACAAAGGAATGCTTGTAACCATTACACTTAAAGTTGCATAAGAGGGTAACATTCACATGACACCACCCAATATTAATAATATGTTTGGGTTGGGAAGAGGTACAAGTTTTTTAATTAATTAAAATGTTATAATTTGATTAGTTAAAAATTTTTCTCTTTTTTCCCTTATCATTTTCCTCAAACCAAACATAATATAAATAAATTTATATTAATTTATATATTTTATTAAAATAAATTAATTATTATTGTCGTTCCCTAAAAACACAAAATTTAATTGAAAAAAATTGTAGGTGAATTATTTTCTTTTTAAAAATTTTTTAATTTGTGCTTGAATAGTTTACTTTTTTATTTTAAAATAATAATTATTTTTTTACTTTAAGTTTTTTTTATAAAAAAATTAATTGTTGTTTTTTATTTTTTAAGATAGATAAATATTTTTTTTATTTTAACTTTATCGTTATCTATTTATTTTGATTAATTATCTTATTATAAAAAATCTTACTTCATTTTTTAACTTCTGCTTAAGGATAATATAAATAAATACATAAATAATCCTTAAATCTTTTATTTAAAAGAAAATTAAAAAAAAGACAATTATTATAATATAAAAACAAAAATGAATACATTTTTATGTAATAAATTTGTATAAAAAATAAAAATTAATTTTAATTTATTAATTAT